ATGGATTGTTCAGCCTTATCAAAGAAAAATGGCATTCAGAATCACATACCTTAATGACTGGTGTTTTTCAGCTCGCATATGATGCAACAGTATTGATTATTTTATGTACACTTTAGGACCTATTAAACTTTATTCTGTTTATGAGTCCACTTGCCTCTGATCTTGTTCCATTTGGATTTTGATTGGCTTTTTAAATTCATTTGTGGTATTTCTGTTTCTTTAGTGTAATCCGTCCAGTAAAGTCTACTTTCCTATACATCCTGTACATCCTTATCAGTTCCGTTGTAAAAAATGAACTGATTAATATATCATACAAAACCAGTGTTTTGATAAACTGCTGTTTGTGTAGAGATTCTTTCTCTAACGCAGGGTTTTACAAACACAATGTGTTTATAAAAAACAGAATTAAAACTTACGTGATTTCCAAATCAACTGCATCAGATATAAGATGGTTACAGTCAGAGCCTTATTTATTCTTCACGTTTCTTCATTTCTAAAATTCTTAGTTGTATTTTTTATTAAACTTGCTTTTAGGGGTTTGGGGGAGTTTTCTATCCTCAGCCTTCTATTTTGCAGAATTCTGACCACGTTAACTGAGATTTTCTGTTTATGTCTTTGTGGGAAAAGGGAGTAGAACAAATTCCTTGTTGGTGACTTCCACTTTTTGTTAGTTTCAGTAAATTCCTCACCTCTGCTTCCTGAGCCAGAAAAAATCTTTTTCGTAAATTTGAGCACTTGTGTAAATGTACTGACCAGCACAAAGTGAAAGATGTTAGAAAAACTCCTTTGGGAACCGGGCTTGTAGTGGCAGCTCTTTGATCTCTAGATGAAGTGATTCAGTGAAGTTTTTGATATGCCATTCTTAAATGCCACCATCTCAGTCCATTGTGAGTGGTGGAGTATAAAAAAGGATTAAAAGATGACAGTCCAGGAACACTTGGGAGTCTCTGTTGAAGATATAATCACCCACCTGCCCTGAGCGAGAGTGGACAATGGATACTCAGCAGGTGGGCACTCAGGATGCATGAAAATATCGCAGTCCTTAATAGGCTTCTGTGTACAGAGTACAGCTACATTGATGCCTGCAGTGGGGGGTTTAAAGCCAAAATTTGGCTTTCATGGTAACCATTCAAATACAAAAGCACCGAAAAAGACTCACAACTGAGAGTTAACGCTGTACATGATTTAAGGGGAATTTGATACACCTAACTCCTTAATAAAGGATAATTGTCTTTTTCATATATCATATCTCTTAGAGACGCCTCTTGTCATTGTTGGTTTTGAAAGCCGAGCAAACAGGAGATTGATCTGCCTGCAGCCATAGGCAGTGATTGCTGGGGAGGAACTTCCAAGGCCTTGGAGATGTTGGACCTGTCATGTCCAGGGGAACAAAGGGGCCTCGAGAAGAGCCTCTGTGAAGACAGATGGGATTTTTGCTCAGTCATCTGTACAGTCTCCCTCCTGCTGGTGTAATTATTTTTTCAGGTCTCAAAATTTTGTAGTAACTGTTGCGATATCAGGTGGGGTTTGTACAGCTTTTATTTTAGGCATGGAGAACAGCAAAGGGGTTTAGTTTTCCTCCTCCAGCAACCACATCCAAAGCGTTCCTGAGCTGCTTTAGTTCATGCTGACAGGGGAGAGGGGGGGCTGTGATAAACGGTTCCACTCAATTGCCCACACATGGGTGTCTGCTGCTGTCTGAGATGCCTGAGTTTTCCAAAATACCCTCATGGGTTGACAGACATGACGCAGGGCCAGTAGGAAACCCATCCTTTTCTTGACTGGCTTCTGGAAATCAAGCGTGGAATCCTATGGCCTCTCAAATAGCATTGTCCCCTATGGATAAGCAGCTGAATCGTGGGCATATTTTCTGAAGCAAGAGGTTTTGTGAGACTTAAAACACTGAGTCTCACAGTTAGAAAATATTAATCCTAACAGTAAATGAACCCATAATATAATTTTATTTTTTAATCATTCATGGCTGTTTTTTTCTTTATTTCTTTTTAAACCAGTGCACTGAGTGTATAAGGACTGCCTAATGATTTCTGGATATATGTAATGCTGAGCAAATCTGAGAGGTGGGAAAGACATGTAGGTTTTTGTAGTATGGTGAAAATAAGCTGAAGGGAGCCTTACTGGCAGAGGCAAGTTTCGATCAGATCACCTATTCTGCATCTCATAACTAATGGAAAGACACAGCGTTTCCATTACCACTTTTTCCTTTAACACACTGGCTTTTGACACAAGTAAACAGCACACAGTAAAAAGACCTGCATTTCATGTCTACATAATGCATCTACAGTTAAATGCTGGCAAAATAATTTACTGATGTGGTAAGAGCAAGCAAGAGATACTGTAAATGCAAAATGAAATTCCATAAGATAACATATACTGTGTTTATCTCTGAAAAATGTTTGCTGATGGATAGTTTCACAGGGAGACTGAAGGTTAAAAAAAGAAGATTACTTGAAGATAACTGAGTGTTACAATTTCTGATTGACTGTTGTTTTGCTTTTGCAAAGAGGGAACTGTTAGATATGTAGTTTACCTTCAACTAGTTCATGGACAGCCTCGTTCCTTTTAATTTATCCTCGTTTTTTTTAATTTGTTTAGTAAAGACAGGGAGTTCAGAGTTACCTAAAACATGCACAAATTACTTGCTCAAAGGATCTTTATGCCCTAAGTAGATAAATACTGAGAGTAATTTCTCATTAAGTAAAGTAAACTGGACAAAAAATACTAACTATAAAGAAACAGAAATGTATATGTTTTTGTATTTAAAGACTTATTATATGAAAGTACTTTAATACGCAGCAATAAATAAAGTGAATCTTTAAAAAGCAGGCACAGGCAATAGGCTAAGATGGAGTCTTATTGGGCACCTGAAATAGTACATTGATATGGGAATTATATCACACAAATGAGAGATTTGTATGAATTTGTAGATTTTGGATGTCGGCATACATTGGCAGGAATTTTTTTAAGTATAAAACAACAGTTTCCTCTTACTGCTTTCTCATGTACTTGGGTAACCCTTAGGCTATGGTAACCTTGTAATGTCACGAAGGAATTATTACAATCCAAATCATGAGTTTGACCAAGCTGCATCATTCCACTCTCATGACGCAAAGTTACCGTGAATGTGTCTTAACAAATCACCTAATACATGTTTAAATCTGTCTCGCATGGCCAAAATGAAAGAATTGGAAAGTATGATTAAATAAGCAAAATAACTGCAAAGTATGATTGAATTAGACCTCAAATTATTGCAGTCTACTATTATATTGTATTGTATTATACTATGTCATACACAAATTTGGACTTATCCAGGTAGCTACGTGCTAGTGAGAATCATTCATAAATTATTCTTGTTACATGAATCTCTTGTTTATTTTCACCCTTGTTGAGCCCTTTGCTAACTACGGACACTAAGGATCAAAGATACAGATGTACTGAAGTTCCTAGGGATACCCATGTACACCTCATGAAGCCCAGAATCTAACTGCACGAACTGAAAGCCTCAGCTATTTAGCACACATACACTAGGTGCTTCAAAAATCCCAGCTGGCACTTGCCTGCATGTTTTTGGCACCTGAATTCCCATGGACATATGACTCCTACTATTTTTAGAAGTGGAGACTTCATCAGTTTGACCAAGTTAATGATTGGTTCTTTAGATTTCTTTTCTGTAGTATCTCAGGTAATACCTGCTATTTTGAAAATTCCTGGCCAATTAATTTATTTATTGACCACTGTTACCTGTTCAGCCTAAATTTCTGCAGCACACACTGCACCGATTTGAGATATATCTTGCTTTCAACTTCTGTTTCACCTCTTTAAACCTGTCTGTGTTATAACCTGTGTTACTTATATTCCTATATGCAGATTCTCACAGTAACACAGGAAGCTCATGAACAATTATTTCAGCAGTATCTGTTGCTTTAAAAAAATTATTAATAGAAACACTTTTTCTTTGAAATGCATTGTATCAGTGAAAGAGAAACAGCCGAAACTTGTTGGTTGATTTGTTTGTTTGTTTTTAATTAAAAGAAGAATGCAGTTTCAATGAAAGAAATAATCACAATGCACTGTTTTATTTTCAAAGCTGGGTCATGGAAAAAAAGGATCAGAGCAGATACATTGTGGATCTTCTACATTATTTGTAGGATTAGTGAACCTTTCGGATGCAGATTTGAAGTGTCATTAAGCAACCCTACTTTACAGCATCCTATGCCACGTGCCTCCATAAGCCATGGAATTTGTTCGTGGACTCTTCGTGCTCTTTGGGTGAAGCACTGAGAAGATTAGTGAAGCGTTACTTGCTCCAATATATAATCATTAAACTAGCACCTAAGGGGGAAGAAACATCAGCGGTTGAGGTAGACATCTGTGAAATAAACAGTCAGTGTATACTATTTATTTACAGTGGTACATTGTGAAAATTGCATCTCTAGGGTGCATGGTAACAGAGGTATACACATCAACCTGTGTTTCTCATCTGCAATCTACAGCTGCAATATCTTCATTTCTTGTGTACTGTGCATGTTATAGTCAGCCTCTAATGTAAACCATGTATATATATTCAAAGTGGTTACAGTGGAAAATCAGTGTCCTTAGTAGCTGTTCAGTGATATCATTTCTCAGTATTTAATAATCTGTCATTATCTGGGATATTTAAAATACCACCTTGCTATGTTAAAACATTTTTCATTAAATAGCTACATGAACAACAAGACTTCTAAAAGTTAAAAATATGTCTTAAGTAAAATAAATAGAAAACTGAAAAAATGGCTTGTGTCCTTAGAAGGCTTTGCTTAGCACTGTTTTGAATGTGATACACTGAATGCAAACGTCTTTCCATCATTTACCTGTCTGATTTTCAGCTTATATATATATGGCAGTGCAGACTGGGACATTTCCCTAGTACTGTAAATCATCCTTTATAACAATATCATGTTTTGTTAAAATCTTACTAATACTAGTCTTTGGTTACAGGCAGTTTGCACCGTGCATCCAGTGTTCCGGAGCGTGTCTATAACATGGGGATTACTGAAAATGATTTTGCACCAAGAACTCCCTATGGTTTCTCATATTATCAGTCAAACCAGGTGAGGAAAAGAAGACAACAAATAGAAATAAATATAATATCACATGCATAGTTTATCCATTTTGTTACCACAAATAATAGTGTGTAGATGGTGTTTCAAAGTTTGCTTGCTCGCTTGTTTGCTTTCTAGAGCCTGATTTCTAGAAAAGGAGGTTTTTACAACTGAGATTTGTTAACGCTTTTCCCCCTTCTGGTGTCTTCTGAGCCCAGTAGCTAAATTCAACTCAGTCGTACAGTTGGACTTTCTGCAATCCTATTGGTTTTGTATTAGCACTCCGCTAAGGCAAAGGCTGTGAGAAGTCAGGTCTTGACCCGTGCCACCAGGCAGCAGGGCAGTCAGCACAGCGGAGGCTCAAAGCGGCGGGAGGCCTTGCTGCCGCTCACCCAGCCGAACGGTTGGAGGTTGCTAGAGGAAGCCCAGCGATCCCATGGGGTAACGAATGACATGGGTAGGAGCTGGGAATGTGGTGAAAGAGGTTAGGGAATTAAGCATCCAAAACCACAGGAAAACAGATTGCTTTTAGTTTCACGATGACAGGTAGAGTGTTCCTTAATATTTAAAATAATCCTGTTGTAACCTGTTTTAGCATTAAGAATTTCAGCAGTATAGTCCTTGCAATACGACGGTGTTTCTAAACTGTCTGATCATAAATTCACTTGTTATTTTGACCAACTTCTCTTGGGTTCATGGCCTGAATGCTAAGATAAATAATTGGTTTTCTGCAGGGTTTGTGACACAGCTCGTAACTGGTATGAACCTATTTGAGGGGGCAACCATATGACTTGGAAATCAACACATAGCTCAATGGCAACGCTGCTGCATGATCAACGTTAGTAAACTGAAACCAATTCAGCTTGGGAACAGAAATATTTATTTAATAAATAGCTGTATACATAGGGGCCAATTCTTTCTTAATTTTAGATTACTCAAGAGTGGCTTATTCTCATTAAAGGAAATAGCCCAGCTTCTGGCCAGTTAATGAAGCAGCTCCAGCTCTGTATGGGACGAGTTAGAACCATTTACGTAAATACATTTCCTTCTCTGTCCTCCTATCCTCTGTTCTCACCTATCATCCAGTCCATAATATTTGATATGAATCTCTTCTTTCTAGAAGAGGGCAACAAGAGGAAAACTGGAGCTGACATAGGAACCACAAGAAAATACTACAGGTTTCCAGGCAGGGGAAAAAAAAAAAGAATAAAAAAGACTATTTGTCCTGTGCGAAAGCCAGAAAAAGCTACAAGGTCTAGTATTTCACAAAAGCATTAATTTCCTTATCCCCAAACAAAAGATAAAGATATCCTTGCATAGCTTCTGTAGAATAAACAGATATATCCAATGATCCTTGCCTCAGCCTACTAGATTTCAGCAACCTTTACTCCTTTTGTGAGTCAATTATCACCCTCAGTAACTCCTCAACAGTGAAATTAAGGGATTTCAGTCTGGCCACTATCTGCTAAGCGCTGTCCCTTCAATTAATAACTTGTGTAAGCTTCTCAGTTTACCTTAAAAAATGTCTTTAATATTACAAAACTTTAATACAACATAGAAGTAGAATATATGGGGCTTTGATTTATGGCTGGATGACCCTATGCTTACTGATTTTTTAAAAATTGGGCCATGACTCCTTTATTTCAAGGCCAGATAGTCTCCCAAGTGGATTTAGTTCTGGAAGGTCTTGAATAGAGTATGATGTCCAATTTAGAGCATAAGAAAAACAGAAGAATTGGAGAGGCCCCAAATGGCACCTAAACAGTAAGAATCTTGAAGACACAAAGAAAGCTTGAAGGAAGTGGGTTTGTCGAGTTTAGAAGAGAGAAACTTATAAAACAAGATGATGACCCATTACTGTCCATGCCGATTAGGGACAGGAAAAGAAAAATCATCTTAAATTGCAACTGTAGAATTAGGACACTATTGAGATGGTGAGATGGTCATTTTGGTTTCCTTGGAATGTTATGTAATCTCCTTCATTTTTAAGAGGTTAGACAAACAGGGAAGGGGCTGTCTCTTTTTACTAGATCCTACCACAAAGGGGAGGACAGGAGGGCTAAATAACCTTATGTTAATAAGTTTAATAGCAATATGCAGACGCTTTAGTATAATATTTTACTATCTGACTGATTGATTTTCTTCTGTCTGTTGGACAGCTTTGAATTTAATGTTAGTAGCAGATGTGGGTGTTAATCCCCAAGGAGTTTCAAACTGAAACTGAAATCTCCATTAATAAGCAGACTGTTTGCTACCAGGCATAATTGATTTATGCACCTATTTTGAATTAATGACAGGAGACTAGATGCTTAGACTTTGTCTCCTAATGTTTAGACCGTATTTCCTCCTGCCTTTGTTAGGCAGATACAAAGAAGTGTTGCAGAATCCCATTGAATACACAATTTTGGTGATGTTCACATTTTGTTTTCTGATTCTGGTAGCAGACCTTAGAATTTTTATCTTTACTTTTTTTGTTTGGTTTCTTTGCTATTTATCCTAAATGCTGTGACTCCTGTTCTTTTACGCACCCTTGACCAGGTGGCCTCACCATCCTCTTATACAAATGGCTGGGGGACGAGGATTACTTACAAGACAATGGAAGAGAGAGCTCAAAGACAGCCTCTGAAGAGACTAGAGGTTTCACCCCAACGAGGTCCTGAAAGATTGGCATATGTGTCCAATGATTTTCACTATGACGGAGGGATTTCACCTGGATTCTCTATGAGGCATGGAGATAGCAGGACATCCAGCGGGACTGTCCCACCAAGATATGCTCGGTCTGAGATTGTTGGTTACACTCTTCGTGACTCAGTGAACAGGGGCCGCTCTTTTAAGAGGCACACCCACATGGGGGCTATTAATGATGCCGTCCTTGATGGTGTCTACCCCAGCCCCACTGTACCTTTGTACCATCAAGCAGGCAACAGTCGCAGTATGACCAACCTTTTGGAGAAAGAGAACTACCTGACCTCGGGCAGTGCGATGGGACAAGTGAGATCACCAATTGCTTCCCGTTTGGGGTCTCAAAACAGGCAATCTTTAAGGTCCAGCTGGTACCAAACTACGTTCAGAAGCGCACAGACCAGGAGGGAAGCTTCCCAGCCAGCTTCAATAACCAGTGTCGCTGCAGAAACAGATGGGAAGAGGATGCCATTGACAGCTGCTATGGCAGCAGCAGGGAGAAATGGTTTCCTGCAGAGCGAACAAGTCACCATCAATGGATCTCAGCTAGGGTAAGCACAATGCAGGACCTGCTTTGGTTCTGGGGTGTCACAGCTGAAGGGAACCTGTTCATTTAAAAAGAGAAAGTAAACTGACAGCTTATGGTTCAGCGGCCAACACGGTGTGTGAAATGTCGGTGCAGAAAGGATGCAGAAAGTAGGTTTGCTTTTAAAAGTCCACTTCCAGTGCAACAGAGGAAGGGGAGAAAAAATGTATGCGTGTGGGTGCATGTTGCAGGGTCCACACCTCCTGCTCGGGTTTGGGACCCCTTTTTGCCAAGAGTTAATCAATTTTATGAGGAGACATAAAGTAGTCGCTGAGTAATTTACAACCTAAGTCACAATACACAAGCAAATTTTGTGCTTGTAAGAGACCGGATGATTTCAGCACTGGTTCTCACGAGAATAGGTCAGAAATCTACTAGTGAAGCAGCTTTTGGCAGACTGACAATTTCCAGTTAAAAATCCTTCATGGTTTCAAGAAAACTTTCGTTTTGATAAACTTCAGTTAAAACACAGGCAGAAATTTCTCTTAGCTCTGTAGCACTATGCATCCCTAGAACAAACATAAACTGCTCTGAATCTCAGGACCCCAGAACTTCTCACTACCATGAGAACCTACATGCTCTGAGGACGCTATCTTAATTTGAAGCCCTGTTAGCTCCATGGCAGAAATTCCCAAAGCTGCCCCCAAACTTCAGGAAAATTGTTTAAAATCTTAGAAGCATTCTTTTTTTTTTTTCAAAATTACTTTTTTTTCCCCCTGAAATTCCCTTCCAGAGAAGATTTCAGAATGTCTAAAATCGGTTCCATTTTCAAAAGAGAAAATTTATCAGTTCTGAAATTCCCCTCAGGAGTGAATATTTTTTTCATTTAGAATAATTCTGATTGTTTCCAGAGCTCTCAAGGTTCAATGGACAGAACAAACCACTTGGTAAACAAGAGATGGTTACTTGCACTGTTTACTGTGGTTTCTGTTGTTGTTTCATAGTCCAAATAGGATCCCAAGGTTTCTTATGTAAGTTAATCATGGTGTAATTTATAACAGGGTTATTAAGAAATGTCTCTTTTTCCATAACTGTGTAGCTGTTAAGTTCATTTTTCCGAAGGCCACCTTTCTTCTTTTTCTAAATTTGCTACTGTGTGAGATGAGGCATCATCTGGTTTCACTGCCATGTACAGGTCAGGTATGTTCTGTCGTCAACTACATGTTGTGTGTTATGACTAGATTTACAAAGATACATGGTCTCGTGCCCACATCTGCTCTGGATTGAAATTTTCACCTCTGGGTGATGCAGGAGTTAAGAGAGATCTGATGTGACTCCTAAGTATTCAATCTTTACAGCAAGTAAGTCCAGAAAAAACAGCTGAGAGCTCACAACAGCTAAAGAATTGGGAGTAGTGATGTTGAAAATACCTGGGAGGAGTTTGTTTGACAGTAAGACGTAAGTCCAGAAAAAACAGCTGAGAGCTCACAACAGCTAAAGAATTGGGAGTAGTGATGTTGAAAATAGGTACCTGGGAGGAGTTTGTTTGTCAGTAAGACAATTTACAAACAGGCTTATATCCCATTGACTTAATCATTTACTTAACTTTAAGCACATTCTTGAGTGTGTTTCTGAGCCACAACCAGCAACTGTGGTATTTAATTTTGTGTAGGAGCAATTTTCGTTCTTCTTTTGCAGGTGCAGACACTGGAGTCTGGTTGTCTGCCTGCACAAACATCAACCAAAGTGTTTTTCATACCTGCAGATGTAAACATCTATCTTCAGCCATTGTGCAAGTGGCTTGCTTGAGACCATGCTGAACTCCAGGTGGAAGATTTGTGACCGAATGGAAATCTTTTTGACAGCTTAGTTCCTTAAATGCCAGTTTTTAAGCTCAGCTTTTGCTGGAGATTACAGAGGAAAACAATTGGAAGTGCTGTGAAAGCTTCTAAAGTTCCTGTTGCAGATGTTTACAGATTTCATTTATCTCAGTACTTCTGACTATTTAATTTACTCGTACATATCTTGTTCAGATTTTCAAATATCCTAGGTTCTACTTTAGTTTCATAGCTAAGTTTTTGGGGGATTGAGGGGCTCTTTATTCTACCCAAAGTTTAAAAAAGTCTCTGTAAAATACATTAATGAAAAGGATGGTGAAAAGCAGCATGTAAGACAATTCCGCAAGAGATTTGTACCACGAGAGTCTTAAATGATGAGGAAGAAACTGTAGCCATTTTAGCTGACTGAAGTCAGTATTTGTTGCATATGCTTATGTACTAATGTGTGTATGATATCCACATACATTATTACTGTTTTCATACATCTAAAATTACCTTGTAATTCTTGTCACTGGAAGGGCTTGATGCAGAAGTTGTATTTTGGTTGTATTACATTCTGGTTCATCCACATCTAGCTAGCGCACAGTTTAATGTAGAATTAAGTATTTAAAACATAATAGACGACATTTTGCTTTGGGGTATACACTGCTGTCAAATCAGAGATATTTCACTTAAGTCCATTGTTCCACCAGTAGTACAATAATTTCTTCTGACAAGACTTCTTGGTTTAAGAAGTTAGTAGAGACTTTCACATTTCTTGTCATTTCCCATTCTCTTTGATTTTAAGGTTGCATTATCTGATATATTGCTCCCTTACCTGTTGCTCCCTTAATAATGGAAGGGGAAAAAAAGATAAGCCTGTTTTCTGAGTAATTTGATGTTTCCAGAAATTTGTACTTTTTTATGTAAATCACAATTTAGGTCTTTCCAAGGACAACTAAGAGGATGTAAAATAGTTGTGTAAGGTCAAAGAGAAGTAGTGGACTAACTATGTATAGTATTTGAAATGTATATAAAAGCATTTTCAAACTTTGTGTAGAAGAATTAGGTCATGCTATGAAATCAAAGTAGAAAAATCAGAGTATAGAGATGCTATCTCTGTGTCTTCTGGTGAAGTGAAGCCGTTAAAAGCATCCTCATATCAAGGGCTTAGGAGAGAGAGATTCAACCTGAAGCTGTCTGAGAAACAGCTGCTTACAGAATCTGACCTCTAAACGTGCTGAGAGCTGTCACAAAATGATTAGGCAACACAGTGTATATAACTCAAAAATGTTATATTCTGGCAATTAAGGTGAATTCAGAACTTGTCAAATCATTGTTCTGTTTAACAACCATTACCTGAATGTCCATTCGTTTGTTGTCATTACACATGCTAACCCGCCACATGGCTATTAAGTTTGCCTGTAAATGTTTTGGGGGTAGGATGGAGTCATTGCATCAAATTCTATTTTGACAAAAGTTAGGGTGCTGCAACTTTAAGGATACCATTGAGGGTCAAAGATTATATTGCGTCCTTTATTACTGTCAGATAAAATGTTAGTGAATGTTCTTTTTATCCTATGAGGAGCAATCCTAGTATGGCAGTGCACAACAGGAGAGAAAGATTTTGGCTACTGCACATCAAGGAGTATCAGCCATAAAGGGATAACTCTGGTGAATGGTGGTCTGCTGTCAGTCTCAATGCAGATCTACACACCCAGATCTACACACTTAGAAATTTGGTCTCTGGCTGTACATGCATTTATCTCAGCCTAGCAGGGGCTGCTGATGGACCTTTACTACTCTGGGACATCCTTGGCATCCTGAGGCTGAGTTCCCCCGTAGATTCTCTGGTGTCCCATGAGGCATCAGCTCATGCAGCAATCTTGACCTTGGAAAGTGCATGGATAGAGTCCTTCTCTGCTGTTACTCACTGAAGTGACTCACAATTTAATACATTGGAGATGTCTGGCACTCTGTACAAGGCGACTGAATTTGGTCAAAGGGCTCCAAAGTTACTGCAGTGACTGACAGGCAGGTAGGCACGCTCTAATGTGCACATATATAACATGGTCACAAAACCCTCGTCGATTTAAGAAACCTGACTAAAACCCAAGCTTGAAAAGCCTGTTTTTCTGTCCCACTTAGAAGAGAGTAAGAAGAAGAAATATGATCTGGCTTTTTTCCATTGCTCATTATTCAAGATCTTTAAGTACATTTCTGATCCGACTTGCAACTTAGAGTAACTTAGTAGCTACTTTGTTTTAAATCCGAGCTGACGTAAACTCTGAAAATTTGGGAGCTGTAAGCATTGCCAGACCACAGCCCAGGGCACTAGAGATACTAACCATAGTTCTGTCTAATTTCACTTTGATTTAACCTCTCCATTGACATCCTCAACACACTGTCCCCTTCATTTCATCTTTGTCTTGCACAAGCATGCCTCAGCACCTATAGATGCAGCGTATTTGCTCGGAACACTAACTCAGAGGAGGGGAGAAGACAAGAAATAATATGATTTATACCAAAGGGAAATATAAAGGCAGGTGGAAACCTCAGGGTACGGGAGTATAATTTCATTTGCAACAGGTGCATTGAAATTGTTCTTCATTTTTTTGCTGTCCTTGCAGCCACACTAATTGTCTTTTGCCTTAGCAAAAGCAAGCAGCAGATGTTGATTTACAGTGTAGCTGGCAAGAAAAAATCCAACAAAATCCATTTTTGTCTCAGAGCTCATGAGTTCATCATAAATATTTTGGG